CTGCAGAATTCTGTGTTTTTGTCAGATTTTTTTTCTTCTTTAGCTGTTTTTTAAGCTGCATCAAAGTGCAATTTAGCAAGCCAATAAAGTGGCCAATCAGATTTGTTTTCTTGTTATTCAGATTTACAACCAATAACAAGCAACAGTTAGACACAGTTAGGACCAAGCTTAGTTGAAGACCATTTTATTAAATCAACTACAGTACAAAAGATTAGCCACCTCATAAACTAGTTTGGTTTTGATTTAAAAAAAACAAACTGAAAAAGAAGTCACGATTATCTGTTTGCCATTCATGACCAGTGTTGGCCAAGTTACTTAAAAATAGTAATTAGTTACTACTAATTACTACTCCAAGAAAGTAATCCCATTACTTTACTAATTACTATTTTCAAAAGTAATTAGTTAGTTAGTTTTTAAAAGCGTGATACATTTCATTACTTGAAAAAAAGTAATCGGATTGGAGTAACATGTTACTGCCCATCTCTGTTCATGACAATATTTATAGCTCACTCTTCGGTTTCTCTTCTTTTTAGGTTGGTGGGTCATTAAAAGAGAATCAGTTTTATTTCTCTCTTATCTATGAAGAAGGAGAAGAAACTGAAGGTGGCTGCTTATACAGGAAGTCTAATAAGAAATTACATTCAGTTCCTGGTTACCCGCAATGCTTTTTGGCCAGTGGAGTGGTCAACTTCTTCCTGGCCCGTACAGATGCTGTACAGAGGGTGGGTTTTGACCCTAAGCTACAGCGGATAGCACATTCAGGTAGGTCCAGATCTCAGTTTGGTTTAAAAGTGACAAGAAGGGGGGGCTTCCAGTTTTGCTTAGCTATGATAACAAAATGTTTTATTTTAAAATACTTGTTGTTTTTTTTAATCTAGAGTTCTTTATGGATGGCCTGGGCTATTTACTTGTTGCCACTTGTGGTGATGTGTCCATTGACCATCAACATGTAGCCAGAAGTGCTCATTATCGCAAGTTCAGAAAACCTACAAAGGATGACTCAGAATTCAAATTGCAGCTTCATTTCTTCAAAAACCACCTTAAGTGCATCAAATATGGATAGAAGACCTTAAGAGAACATCAGTGAACTGGTTGTAGTTATATACTGCACTTTATTTTACTCAGAGCAATGTTTTCATAGATATTGCTTTGCCTGTAATTGTTAATGTTTCTCATAATACATTCTACTATACTGTATGCTATAATAAGAAGAATTCAAATCGGATGTTTCCAAATATTCCGAATAAAACCAAATTCAATAAATGTTATGTTGTTGATGAAATAAGGACTTTGAAGTTTGGAAGTCACCATAGCATTTATGCTAGAACAAGTTATTGGTTACTCATTAAGTTATGGTTATAGTGAGTTATAGTTGTTGAGAAGTTATTGTTATAAAGTTACTGGTCACTTTCAGCAACAGGTAAAAACATTAGATTAGGGGCTATAATTAATTTTAACAAGTTTTTAGTGAAAAATCTGTGCATCTCAACTGTTTTTTTTGTACAGTAACCTTTACATTAAACTACATAAAACATAAAAAATTTAATAATATTAAAGCCATGCAAAATGTATTTTCACATTATGAATGTGTTCCAGCTTATAGACCCTCGTAGTGTGTCTTTGGGGAATCTTACAGTGGAGATTAATAAAATGAAGCCCTTTTCATGTGCACTGAATATACTGCCAGTGAGATTTCTAAATGAAGTTCATGTATCTGTATAATTCTTCAAATAATTGTAACCTCTTCTGAGAAAAACCTCTCTAAGTCCTTGGAAAATTTCACAGTTTTAGAGATTCCAAACTTCTCGTACGCTTTAAGAACATTCATATCCTGTTAGAATTTTTTAAAGTGTAAATAAATCTATTAAATAAAACTAATAGCTTCTAACTATTTCACACTGTGTACACAGCTGTAGTAACTGTAGCAACTGACCGCTGACACGCTGAAATAAGTTATGGTTGGTACACAAGCATCCATTGTTTTAATTGAACCATTGAGCTCAAGTCATCATTTTTTGATTTCCTTAATTTCTGAAATATTCTTCCCTGCAGTGCTATAATTGCAATTCCTAATCACTTGCTTCAGCAAAAGAAACTCTAATAATAGCCTTTAATCAGATTAATATGGTGGTTGTGCTAAAAGCAAAGGGAAATCAAGTTTCTGTTAGCATCACTATAAATGTGTTTTATTGAGGTCAACATTATTGTGAGGTTGAGATTTTTGCTTTTCCATTGGAACTTCACTAAAACTTTCTGTGACTTGAGTAATGATTGGCTGATGTTACAGCATCGCTTAAACTTAGGACAAAACACATTCAGACTGAATTATATTAAACTTTATATTCCCTTTGATAATGTAAATACAATTCGTGATATTTTTATGTAATATATATATTAGAGTGTATGATCTTCAAGCAAGGAAAGATGTTTATAGTTCATATATTTGGTTTCTCTCAGCTTTTCATAAAGGTTCACACACAGGAAACTGTCATGAAAGCTGTGTGAGGTGAGGCAGGATAGGTCCAAAATAATGCAGGACTCAAAGGCAGCTTTATTGCAGGAGTCACAGATTGACATAACAAAACCATGAAGGCACCTGGAAATTAAACTGGGAAACACTAAACTGACAGAACACAAAGCTGGAAGGATGATGGAGATCGACAGCAGACAGGAGAAGACAGAGACAATGTTTACACAAAAGGGAAATCGGGGCAGAGAGGAGGGGAACACGGCTGAAGTCTGACTGACGAGACAGGGGAAGCAGAACTGAACATAATGCACACAGGACAAGAGAATATCACATAAAAAGAGGAAAGAGAGAATCACTTAGTGAGACTCAGATGAACTAAACACAGAGAGTGTGGGGAGAGGGAGAGCAAGAGCGACATGGAGACAAGACAGAGACTTGACATCCATAACCAGACATGACTAACTACATATAGGGGTGCTGGTGAGGACACACAGAGGTGACAAAACTCTGTGAAATAATAACTTGGATCAGGGCTCTGAAAACGTAACATAAGATTCAATAATTCCCCAAAGAGTGAACAAGACCAAACAATGCAAAAAACATAGTACAAAACAAACTTAAAACACTGGGTCAAAGCCCAAGACCATGAAAGATTCAGGAATAGATGTTACAACCCCTGATACTGTAACATCTAGTCCTTTTACTGAAACTTAATAATTAACACTTACACGATCAGTTTCACTTCATCTTATTAATGATGGTCCAATAGTCCGTTGACTTGTGGGGTGACATTATCTTCTGTCCTTTCATAAAGGCTAATGGCTTAGTGTATTCTTTGATAAAGGAGGTACTAACCAAGGGTTGAATAACTTCTTTATCTCTAACATGTAATGAATACAAGTCAGTTTTATTATGGCTGCAGTCCAGCTCCCTCCTGGTCTTTTTCACACAAAAATCTGTATTCCTTCAAAGTCCTTCTGATCAAGCTACGTCTCTCTGAGTGACACTGTAGTACCATCTTGTAAGCCTGTTGTTTAAATGTTTAGTTTCGTCATCTGATCTGTCTGCTAAACCGCTCATCTTCTTTGCTCTCTTTTTATGCTGAATAAAAGAAGCAATTAGCAAGTGAAACCTCAAAATTTAGGAAAGATGAGGATCTTCTGATTTAATCAAAAACTTGTTATTTATGTAGCCATTTTAAACAGAGGCAGCTACTTACGTAAACACACCACTACATCATCCAGTAAGTGCTAAAGTCTTCTCTGTAAATTCCCCAGTTGTACATTGGAATTTTTTATGTTTTTTATTTTTTTATTTTATTGTCAACCTGAACTTGTAAATGCGGTTGTGGGTCCTCTGTGTGATTCATCAGCAACAACAGAAGGAAACTATTTCCATTACATTGATCCATCACATCATAGAGCCAATGGAATGCAATGTCTTCCACTTAGCAGAGAATCTTATTTTCTTTCAAGATACAGCTGTAGGAAACTTAAATAAAAACCTTTTATTTAGTAGAATATGCTAAATTCACTATCTGAAGGCCAACTCTACCAGAGAACGTCAGGAGAAGTTTAAACGAGCAGCTCAGTACTTTCAATAAGTGCTTCAGGATCGACATCCTTTCTTTTTACATTAAAAAAAAAAAATCTGTACCTTCCCAACCAGATTTTTGGAAATAGAAAGTCAGTTTTCTGTATTGAAGTGTATTTGTGATTAGTCACAAAAACATATAGCCCAAGAAGAAAAAATATTCCCCCAAAGGTTCTTTAAACTCTGAAACAACTTGAAACTAAGATTAAGAATAAAAACAGCGAGGGATCATCATCATCATCAACAACAACTTTATTTATAAAGCACTTTAAAACAACCACAGCTGACACAAAGTGCTGTACATTGGAACTGTAAAATAAAATTACATGAGATATAAGTAAAAACCAAATAAAAGAAGAGTGAAATAATTAATTAAATAACTACTTCAATTAAAAGAGAAACTAAGTCTCACTGAGGTTAAAAGCCAAGGAATAAAAGTGGGTTTTAAGACGTGATTTAAAAGTGGACAGTGAAGGGGCCTCTCTAACGTGCATGGGCAAATTATTCCATAATTTTGGAGCCACAATAGAGAAGGCCCTGTCCCCTCTGAGCTTCCTC